CCTTGGTCTTTTTTTTTTTTTTTTTTTCCAACTTTTTAAAAATCTAATTTTTAATTTATATGCAGTCAAATCCACTGTTTGGTGTATAGTTCTATGAGTTTTCACAATTGCATGAAGGCCATATAATCACCACTAGAATCAAGATTCCGAGCACCAGTTCAGTTTGCAAAGTTTTTGCTTGGCTTCCTTGGGAGTGTTCTGCACAGGCAGAGCTCGGGTATGTGGCCAGACCTAGTGTCAGCTCAAGTCTCTCCTCTTCAGGATTTTCCCCGTCCTTTCTGGCTCTTTTGCATGCTTTTCTGGTCTGAGAGATGGGATCCTCTCAGAGATGTCTCTGCAAATTGTTACACAGTTCCCCATGACTGAAGCTGTGAGGGAAAAGAAAAAAAAAAAAAAAAATCATGGAGATACCCCATTTAATCTTTGCCCCATATGGGGCCCCTTTCCTAGTTCCTTTATTTAGAAAGATTTTTTTTTCCTTGAGGTTTTAGATGTCATTGCTGTGACCATGCCAACATGGCTGGTGTCGTCAGCCTCTGGGCGAGACTGAGAGTGAGAGGAAAAAAGTAGGGGGGTTATTTTGAGACTTTCCTATTCCTTTCTATCACTTTTCCCAGTCCCCTAGCTAGAAAGATGGGTTTCTCTTGGAAGTTTTGTTGTCTGTACCCATCAGGCATTTCTCGACGTACTCTCAAGTCGAAGACAGGCAGCAAAGGAAATTAAAAAAAAGAGCTAGAAAACTCACTGGCACCATACTGGCCATTCTTCAAGTTTTTGCTTCTCTGCCCAATACACTTGCTATTTTGCCAACATTTATGACTCAAGAGTCCTCTCAGAGTTCCTTTTTATATCTGTCCAGAGGTTCTAGTTGTAATCAACAGGAGAGAGAGAGAGAGAGAGAGAGAGAGAGAGAGAGAGATTGCAGCATGTTTGCTCCTTCTTGGCTAGCTCTGGAAGTCCCTCTGTCCCTATAGTCTATTTTTAACACAGTAACAGAACAATATGTCTAAAAGGTCATTGAAGTCAGAATGATTCTCCTAAAATGCGTGATGGGGGGTCAGTGGTAGAATTCTCACCTTCTATGTGGGAGAGACCGGGTTGGATATCAGGCCAATGTATCTTATGCTCAGCTACCACCCCATCTGTCAGGATTACATGTTGCTATGATACTAATCAAGTTTCAGTAAAGCTTCTAGACTGAGAATATTAGGAAGAAAGACCTGGCAATCTACTCCCAGCTCCTTAGCTGTAAGGAAAACCCAAAGGATCACAGCAGTCTGATCTGCAAATGATCATGAGGACCAGACAGTCAGGGACTGACTCTAACACACCCAGCAATACAACAACAAAATTCGTGATGACATCTCAAGTCAGTGTAAAAAGCAAAGTCTTTATAATCATTTGAAAGACCTTACACAATTCAGCCCTCCCAATCTTCTATGACCTCATCTCTTCCAACTGGCCCCCAACTCATTCCACTCCAGTAATTTGACTGCCTTCTTGCAACAACATGCATGCTCCTGTCTCAGACCTTTGCTTTGCTGTTCCCTTGGCATGGAATGTTTCTCCAGATATCCAATGACTAAACCCCACAACTTTTATATCTTTGTTCAGATGTCACCTTCCTAGAGAAGGCTACAACAAATACCCTATTTAAAATGGCAAATCCCCTACTTCCTGTTCTAAACTCCCTGTCACTACTCTTTTCCTAATATTTCTCTAACATACAATATTGTTTACCAATTTACTATGTTTATTATCTGCTACTCCCTCCTCCCATTAGAATGTGAGTTCTAGAGTGCATAGTGCCTAAGGCACTGGACTGCTAACCAGAAGGCTGGTGGTTCAAACTCACTAGCCACTCCTCAGAAGGAAGGTTGGGCAATCTACTTCCATAGTGATACCACCTCAGAAACACAAGGAGGGGTCGCTATGAGTCGGGTCTGACTCAACGGCACATAACAACAACAACAGAAGGGTAGGAACTTTAGTCTGTTTTAGAGCTCAGCACTCAGGACAGGGCTGATATATAACAGTACCTCAGTAACGATTTGTTCAATGAATGAATGGGTGGGAAAAGGTAAAAAATACAAACACACTTTAGCAAGGCACCTGATACAGAGAATGAATGACTTAGAAAAATTCAGGCCAGAAAGGATTAATCTAAATTGATCTTCTTCCCCAGTTGTTAATTAGAATACTCCATTCCTATCTATCCTTAATCTTGTATTGATGTTAAAGCTCTCTTTGTGATAAGACATTTCAGTGACCTCAACACAGTTTAGCATTGATGGGTTCTTTAGTTTTTTGTTTTGCTTTGTTTTACAGGGGCCTGCCAGGGCTATTTTCATGGAGAAAGTGCTGGAAAACACTCCAAAAAATATTTCCCCAAAAAATAACCGAGCCAGAAAGGCATTCCCAAACCTCATTTAAATATATGTAATTCTTTTCCGATTAATATATGCCATAGACTGTGCTCAAGTGAAATGTCTGTAAATAGTCTATATTCATTTTCCACTTCCCATACAATAAAAGGAATCACATATTCGTCCGTCTGACTTTCTTGTCAGTCAGTATACTACTTTCCCCAATCTCTCTTTGGTCTAATATGAGATGAACCCATTCCATAGCTGATAGCACGGATTTACTATTTATCAGGTGTGATAGATATCATGTAGCTAATCTTTTTACTTTTTCCTCTAATTCCTACCATAGATGGGAAAAGAAGATAAGAAAGGATGGGAAGAGCAGGAAAAAAAAAACTATGCTAAAGTTCTCAAATATGAATGCTCATGGAGCAGTGACAATCACTTATCTGCCACCTTTTCTTGCATGGCACCATGTGTCAAGGTCCCTGGGTATTGCAAATGGTTTATGTTTATCCATTAATCTAAAATTGGCAGTTGGAACTCACTCAGTGGCACCATGGAAGATAGGCCTGGTGATCTGCTTCCACAAAGATTACAGCCTTGAAAACCCTATAGATCAGTTCTGCTTTGTAACATATGAGTCGGAATGAACTCAAGGGCAATGAGTTTGGTTTATTGTTGTTAGCCGTGGTGGAATCAATTCCAACTCATGGAGATGCCATGTACGCAGGGCAGAACTACTGCTTTATAGGGTTTTCAAGGTTGTGACCTTTGGGAAGCAGATCACCAGGCCTGTTCTCTGTGGCACATCTGGTTTTGAAACACCAACTTTTTGCCTATAGTCCAGTGCTTAACCATTTGTGACACCTGGGGACTCCTTAGTTTGGTATACCATGTGTCAAATGTTATCATTTCTCTTGTCATAGTAAAAAGTATTATGGGACAGATCACTATGAGAATGTAGTCAGGTTGTGGAATTTTTTATAGCTAATATTTTATTAGGAGCTCTGGTAGCATAGTGGCTAAGGTACTTGACTGTTAACCAGAAGGCTGGAGGTTCAAACCCACCAGCCACTCCTCGGAAGGAAGATGTGGCAATCTACTTCCGTAGTGATACTGCCTCGGAAACCCAAGGAGGGTCACTATGAGTCAGGTCTGACTCGACGGCACATAACAACAGCAACAACAACAATATTTTATTTTTCTAATTTATGAGATAATATAGTATTGAATCAAATTAGTTGAAGAAGTTCTGGTGGTACAGTGATTAGGGTGCACGCTACCGTAAAGGTCTGTGGTTGGAACCCACTAGCCTCTGTGTAGGAGAAAGATGAGGCAGTCTGCTTCCATAAAGATTTACAGCCTTGGAAACCCTATGGGGCAGCTCTACTCTGTCCTATAAGGTCACTATGCATCACAATCCATTTGATGGCAGTGGGTTTGGTTTTTGGTTTATCAAATTAGTTTATATATTTTAAAACATCATTAAATTTTATTAACATGCCAACGATTCACTATGTTAAACATCACACACAAACTTAAAAACTTGTTCATAATTAAGTCTAATAATAATTAGAAGATTGACAGGTGGGAATTTTATTTTTGTTTGATTCTTTCATTTGTTCAGCAATAATTATTGAACACCCATGCTAGAAGTTGGGAATATGGTGTAAACTAGATGAGCTGCTGCCCTAGGCAGCTTCTTTACTGAAGGCAAGTGTAGGGATTCTTGAGTCCAGACTTGACTTCTTTTGTACTACTCTCCTCACCACATTCAAAGATGAACATGCTCCACTAAGTCTGCACCTCCTACAGTGCCTTCTTATAATGTGCCACTAGGCAGTGGTCTGGGACAGCACTCATTTAAACATCAATCATTATTCAATCTACATCAATAAATTGGAATCAACTGGACAGCATATAACGACACAACAACCAGGCACAGAAAGAATTAGAAGTCGTGCCGCCAAAGTGCTGCTTACAGTTAGCAGAACACAAGAGATACATTAAAAAAAAAAAAAAAAGACCTATAAAAGAGAAATTGCCATTACACAGGTTGTGGGGGATTAAATGACAGAATTGGAAGGGCTGGAGTCTACTTGCTAATGGGAGAAGCAGCATACAAGCTACAACTAGAAGAAAAGAAAATTTGGACGTTTAGGAAAATAGAAAATTTAAGAAAACAGGAAAGGGCCACCCAGAAGAAAAAAGAAATGTATTAACCAAGTCCGGGAAGGTGGTGGGATTCGGCAGTGGGATTCCGGAGGGTGGGAGAAAGGGAAGTATGCCTAGAAGATGTGAAGGAAATGAAATTTGAAAGGAAGGGAGCGTCAGCACACATAAGTACCATTGAAATGATTGACTTAATCACGTCACTATGAAATTGCTCGGAAAGCTCAGGGAAAATTTAGAGACCAAGAGCCTGCATGAGTTTTGAGTGTACCTTGGGACGGTAAATCCACTCTAAACCGGAAAGAACATCTTCCACTAGAGGGCAGTGGCAGGCGCTCGGTAAATTTTGAGCCACGTCGCCCGCCGTCCGCTGTCACGTGCCGGTCCGCCGTGGCCGCGTCGATGGGAGTGGGAGGGCTCTTCCAGGCGCCAGTGCAGGAAGGGGGCGGCTGCGGTGCCATTCTTAAAGGGGCCAGAAGGAAGGCAAGAGGCTGCAGACGGCCGGAAGGAAAATGGTGAGTTGTCCCGGGGGAGGGCGGGGGCCGGAGGGTTGAGCCAGCCAGCTGGGCTTTCCTGTCGCTCGCGGCGGGCAGCGCCCAGGGTGGGTCGGCGGCCGCTTCCGCCTCGACTACTGGCCTGTGCCCAAAGCCAGAGACTTTGTCTCCCTCAGCAGCCGCCGCTGCCGCCGCTAAGAGCCGCATCCTCCAACCTGGCCGAGGCCAGCCCCCACTCCTCTTCGGGCCTGGAGTAGAGCGCGGCCACTAGGGTGTGGGTCGTCCTCGCCAGTCTCCTCTGGACGGTTCTTAGTCCCTGAACAGATGGTTCGGAGGGGCCGGGGGTAAGGCCCAGCGGAAGGCTTCTTCAAACGTCGATTATCCTGCCAGGGCCGGGGCCAGGCCTAGGGCCCGGGATTTGCGCCGAGCACCCTTCGCTTCGCGAGGTTTGCGATCAGGGCTGAAATTCTGATTGCACTCTGTCGGCCTTGTCTTAGCTTTTGCGTTCTCCTTTCCGCGTTCTGCCTCTGAAGATTTCTCCTTATCCTCCGTCTCCTCGCTTTACCGCAGTTGGTAGACCTTTTGAAACAAGGCTTTAATGCTTGTCCTTAAAGTGATTGGCAAAAGCTTTAGTTTCATCGCGTTCGGGGGCTATGGCTTCCTTTCTTGTTTGGGATTTACTCCTACGCTCAAAAATAAAGTGGAGAATTAAATCATTTGCCCATCAAGGATCTTCTGGCTCCTTCCCATCGGGTTTTTCTTAAAAATATACTGTGTTCTTTTAATTAAAAACAGCACGGCCCTGCCTCTGTTCTTTCACTTCTCAGGCCACCTGCATCGAATAGGTCTTGTCATGGTCCCAAAATCCTTTAGACCTTTTTCAGTTCTCATTTTGCACGACCTTTAAGCTCTTGATCATTTTCTTCTTTCTGAAGCATTCTCTTCCCTCATGCAGTAGTTTTGACTTCTGCGATAATTGATTTTTCTTCTATTGGCCATCTGTCTCCCACGCAGACTATGCAGACTATTGTTTTTACCCTGGACATCCATGTAGGAGTCTCTAGGCTCCAGTCGCTTACCATTCTGTATCCTCTCTCCATCTTTTCTAGCTTGCAGTCAATGGCTTCAATCGCCATCTATTTGCAGATGTGGTATAAACTTGTATCTCAGATTTCATTTCTGAGGTCCAATCCAGATCTTTATATTCAGCTACTAGGTGCCTCAGAGCCACCTCCATTTATTCATAACAATTCATACTTTCCCCCCTCAAATCTGGTCTTTTCTCAGTGACCCCTAAGTCAGTGAAAAGTAGCACCAGCCTAGGAGTCAACTTGGTAACCCATTTTCCTTCACACCTCCTCCACTGGATATCCAGTCTGCCACCAGCCCCTTTGTAGTGGTTAGGAGAGAGCTAGAGGGCAGGCTACTTGGGTTGCACAACTTTGGGTGAAATACTTCACTCTCTCTAACTTTGTTTCCTGAAAAATGGGGGTTATAATAGTACCCATCTCATGAGATTGTTTTGATCACAAAGGGAGAGCCATGTAAAGGGACTAGCACAGTGTTTCTCACGTGATATTTTAATACATATTAAGTGTTAGTAGTATTCACTGTCTTCATCTTTATTCCCATCAGCCTCTCTAAGCTACTTTTCATTTCATCTGAACTGGTCTTGCTAGTTAACTAGTTTTGCTTTCTCTCTCCTGACTCTTTGCCTGTTTTCCTATTCATACCATAGCAAACGTGATCTTTTAAAAATGTGAATCTGATCGTTTTTCCTTTCGGCACCCTCCTTGATTGAAACACATTAGTGTCTCTCCTTTGCTCGTAGGATAAACCCACTGCCGCTGAGACGATTCCACTCAGCAACCCTATAGAACAGAGTAGAACTGCCCCATAGGGTTTCCAAGGCTGTAAATCGTTACAGAAGCAGACTGCCTCATCTTTCTCCCATGGAGTGACTGGTGGGTTCAACCAGTGACCTTTTTGTTAGCAACCACATGCTTTAACCACTCAGTCACCAGAGCTCCTTTGCTCATAGAATAGAGACCTTTAATTTTATGTTAACATATTTACCATACAAAGTTGTTTTCAGGGCATTATACTTACTGTTGAGAGCTCTGATGGCGTAGTGCCTAAGGCATCTGACTGCTAACCAGAAGGCTGGTGGTTGAAACCCACCAGTCACTGCCCAGAAGGAAGGTTGGGCAATCTACTTCCGTAGCGATATCGCCTCAGAAACCCAAGGAGGGGTCACTATGAGTCAGACCTGACTCAACGCAGTGGGTTTGGTTATACTTACTTTTAAGTGATTCTACTAAATTGTAAGCAGTTAGATTTGGCTAAACCTGAGACCTTTTTCTTGTAGGAAGGAATTTTTTTAACTTGCTATGATATTGCAAGGGATGAAAATGCAAAAAAAAAAAAAAAAAAAAAGGCGCTATATAAATTATATCACAACATATTTTTCTTGGTCTTTAGAATATCAAGATTGCACAAGAGGTAGAAGATAGTACTTTCATGATAACTTTATCTTTGTATAAACAAATCTAAAATATTTATTAGTTCTGATAATAGATCCTATTTTTGGTTGAAGAGAGAATGTAAATTCTAGTTTACTGACTTCTCTATCTTTCTTGAAAGATAGAAAAAAATGGAATAGGGTTGAATCATAGCTTCAGGAAGCTGCATATGACTTAGCATCTCTTCTATAAAAAGAGCTAAAAGAATGCAAGTCCATAACACCTATAAGGGTGTTTTTTATTGACTTGAACCTATTGGTGGGATGTACTTTCAGATTGTATAAGAATATATCCTATGTTGTTTTACACCTTACATATTATCAGTGTTCTGAATTGAAAGAACAATTTAACATTGAAAACATTTTCTGCTTTAACTTTTACCTTCATTTATCCAACACAGGATTGAAAGAACACACGCTTTCCTTAAATTTTTATTTTAATTTAAAATTGGAAGCCTTAATCTTATGGGTTTTAATGAGTATATATTTAGTCTTGGTCTCAGAAGTGTTCTAATTATCTTGAAGAAAGAGAGGATAATTACATACTAAAGAGACTTAAGTATATGGACCTTATTTGAAACCTGGTTAAATAAACCAAAAACGCAACCACTGCTGTGGAGTCAGATCCAACTCATAGTGACTTTTCCTTGGGTTTCCGAGGCAGTATCACTATGGAAGTAGATTGCCCAACCTTCCTTCCGAGGAGTGGCTGGTGGGTTTGAACCGCCAGCCTTCTGGTTAGCAGGCAAATGCCTTAGGCACTAGGCCACCAGAGCTCCCAATAAACCAGTTGTAAGAAATTCAGTAAAGGAAGTTTGAACACTCTTTGGATATTTGCTACTGAAATTATGATTATTTTTTAGGTAGGATAATGTTATTGTCTTTATGTTTTTAATGACACATACTATCATTTTAAGTCCGACTCAATGGCACATAACAACAACAACAACAACATGATTTTAATAGTACATATTAAAATATCTGCAGGTGAAATGATTTCTGGCATTTGCATCAAAACAGTCCTTGAGGGTGATGGTGTTGAGATGAACTAAGGGTCTATGTATTAGTCTCAAGGGGCAGCTCAGCTGATTGTCATAACAGAGTTCACAAAAATCATGATCTATGTCCTAGTGAAGGTAGTGGTATGTAAGGTCTTAAAAGCTTGTGGGCGGCCATCTGAGATACCACTACAGGTCTCTACTTACCAGGAGCAAAACATTAAGAAGGCACCCAGAAGCTCAGAGAAGAAAACAAGTCTGCGTGAGCCACAACCTGAAACTAGAACTAGATGATGCCTGGCTACCACTGCTGACAGTTCAGACCAGACTCACGATAGTTGGTCCTGGATAGAGGGGTAGAAAAATGTGGAGCAGATCTCAAATTCTTTTTTTTTTTTAAACAACAAAAACAGGTTGTATTGGGAGTTGCTCCTGGAAGGACATGACACAGGCTCAACACATCTTGGATACTTGTTCCTTTGTAAATTCTAGACTTAGGCTTGGAAAAGGAATAATGGAGTTTTATCTGAAGCAAGGGTCATCAGCATCTTCTTATCCCAATCTCCAACCGGTAATGCAGAACAACCAGTAAAAGCCAATCAATAAAAGGATTGAGAACTGTTTGCTTAGACATTCTGTGTGTTTTTGTTGCCTATCTGGCATTGAACGTTTTCTCATGGGCTAACAATTTATAACATTTATAAAGTATTTCAGTTTCTTTTCTTTTCTTTTTTAATTGTGATTTGGGTAAAAGTTTACAGAGCAAATTCACTTTCCATACAGCAGCTCACATACACTTTGTCTCATGACATTGACTGCAATTTCCCATAATGCAACAGCTCCCCTCCTACTTCCTTCGCCTAGTTACTTCTTCCCTGTGTCCTTCCCTCCCATGCACTCCTGCCCCCAAGCTGTCTCCCTGTACACACACAGACCTTCTATTCTCCCATGATTGATCTCTCCAAGAAGTGTATCTACCTAATGTAAATGTTCAGTTCATATGTCTTGTCTTTTGTTTGGCTGGAAGCCACAGGAGTGGGTTCAATTCCAGATCTAAAGGGCAGCTGGGGACGTAGTCTCAGGGGTTCCACCAGGCTGTATCAGACCAGCAAACCTGGTCCCTTTTATTTATTTATTTATTTATTTATTTTATAATTTTTGAGTTTTGTTCCACATTGTTCTCCCACTCTATCCAGGCTCTCCTACATAGATCCCCCTCTGAGTGGTTAACAGTGGTATCTGGGCACCATCTAGTCCTTCTGGTCTCATAGTCATACAGGCTGAGGATCGCATGGTGTACCAGTCACTTGGACTGATTGTTTCCATATGTCTTTGATTTTCTTCATTCTTCCTTGCTCTGGACTAGGAGAGACCCATCATTGCATCTAGATGGCCAGTTGCAAGCTTTTAAGATCGTGGTTGCTACTCACCAACGTAGGATGTTGAACAATGTTTTTGTGTAGTATGTTATGCCAATTGAGCTTGATGTCCCTTGTGACTATGGTCCCGATCCCATAGGTCTAACTATTCACTCCCTCTGGGTAGCTGGCTATGGCTAAGGAGTGACTACAACCTTGTCCCTTGTCATCTCTACTACATACCTGGGAATTCCTGCAGAACATACTACTACTACTACTACTACTACTAAAAACTTGTAGAAACATTGTCTGCCAACCCTATACAGGGTTGTGGGCACACTCACCACTGTGTGGACATTCCTAATAGTTCAGCCTGTCCACCCATCTATCCACCTGTAGATCAGTGTTTGCCATCACTGACAGCACAGTACTGTATGTGCAAAAGGGTTCATCTTTGTTGTCTCTACCTCCTCTGCACCTCTCTATGTCTTCCTCTTCCTCATTGCCACTGTGTTGACCACTCACATTTGGTACATTGTCCTTCTCTTCACCTAACCTGGTACACTCTTTAAACCTACAAATGACCTTATCCCCTGAGGTCACCTTTTAGAAAAATAGCAGAGTAAAAATGCAATGCAACCATTACCGTGGAGTTGGATCCGACTCATAGTGACCCCTCCTTAGGTTTCCGAGGCTGTATCACAATGGAAGTGGATTGCCCAACCTTCCAAGGAGTGGCTAGTGGCAGAGTAGCATACAAAATAAACAATACTACCTATAAGACCGTTAGGGTTGGTGCTCTAATGAAAAATCATCAGTATGAGACCAAAAGGTCAACTGTTACTCGAAAGCAAAGATGAGAAGATAGAAGGACAGGAAAACAAGAGTCCTGAAATGGGAACAAAGAGAGAGAATGTTGATGCATGGGATGAATGTAACTAATGTCACTGAACAATTCATGTAGAAATTGTCATGTGTGTAGGTTTTCACCAAAAATTCATTAAGATGTTATTTAAAAAAAAGAAGATTGGCTGTGTGTTGATAGAAGGCATCCTGGTGGTGCAGTGGTTAAGCATTGAGTTGCTGATCAAAAGGTCAGCGGTTCAGAACCCACCAGCCTTTCTGCAGGTGAAAGATGTGGCATCCTGCTTCTGTAAAGATTACAGCATTAGAACCTTTGAAGCAGTTCTACTCTGTCCTTCAGGGTTGCTGAGAGTCGGAATCAACTCGAGGGCAATGTGGTTTTTTATTGTTTTCATGTGTTATTAGTAATAGTGAAAGTTGAATAATAAGCGCATAGGAGTTTACTATACTAGTCTTTCTACTTTTGTATGTGTTCAAAGTTTTACATATTGAAGGGAAGAAATAAAAGATTCCCATCAACTTGTTTATAATCAGTGGTGCGATACATTTGTACCACTAAGAGAAGTGCTTTTGATCATTTCTTTGACAACTTTCTGGGGAAGTCTCAATATTGCTTCATAATTTCTAAAAGATTCTTTGAACTTTTACATTTGTCTTGCCTTCATACATTTTTAATGGCTCCTTTTTTTTTATTCTCCACAATCATTTAATTAAATTATAAACATATATTGGTCTCTAATCTTATAATTTATTTTTCATATTTTTGTTATTTATATATGTTTTTATAGTTGTGAGAGCCAAAAATGAACCAGTGTCATATTCTAAATAAACTAAGGCCATTTTCCTCTTCTTTCGGCATAGTGCAAAAACATACCTTCCTTACTTTCCGAAAGTAGACAGTGAACCTTGACCGTTCCCTTCTCCCATTCTGATGAAAAATTGTACATTATTGTGTGTCTGGTTCTAAGGAACTCTGCTGGTATAGTGGCATAGGTATTTGGCTGCTAACCAAAAGGTTGTTGGTTTGACCCCACCAGCTGCTCCATGGGAGAAAGAGGAGGCAGTCTGATTTGGTAAAGATTTACAGCTTTGGAAACCCTGGGGGCAATTCTGCTTTGTCAGGTAGGGTCACAGTGAGTCGGAATTAACTCATTGGCAGTGGGTTTGGTTTTGGTTTGGCTCTTTGAGTCATTTCTTAGCCAAAAAGAGACAGTTAAAGTATACCCTGTATTTAAGGTGAACAAATGGGTATGATTAAATAATGTAAATCCAAAGATTGATAGACTTAAAAGCCCTTTTAAGTGTTTGTTTCCCTTTAATGCTTTCACATAATTAATACTTACACATGTTAGTATAACTTTTTAAAGGTATTAGGTTTTATAACTTTAATATGTGTATATGTTAAAGTCATGGCATTTTACATGTGATTTTTTCTCCTTTTCTAGAGTGAATCTTTGGTGGTTTGTGATGTTGCTGAAGATTTAGTGGAAAAGCTGAGAAAGTTTCGTTTTCGCAAAGAAACGAACAATGCTGCCATTATAAGTAAGCTAAAAGTAATTCCCTGAATGTTGCCTAGTCTTAGTTTGTGTCGATTTACCAGTAATTGTAGCTTCATTGAGTAAATTGAATGTTTAGAAAGTGATGTTGCCTCCTCTTGGTTCATTCCCTGCCACCAGCACCGCCCCCCTTCTTTAGATTACTTCTAAAAAGTAACAACAGCTAATATCATGGGACAAGGGTGGACTGCTCACCTCTGCCATAGTCCTTTTCTGAGCTGCATCTGAAGACGATGTTCTTCTCGGTCACCTGGGGAATGAGTATTCCACATCTTAGTGACCCATTCAGCTCCATCCATAAATCTCTGGGGCCAAAATAATCTGGCCAGTCATCCTCAAAGGGAAACTTTTGCCTACACCTAAAATGGAAAAGCTTAGCATTGTGTTCAAAGTGACATTGAGTCTTACTCCAATTCTAGATTTAAACCTTAGTTTTATGGAGAGTTCTTTTAAGTGTCACTGACTACTATAAAAGGGAAGGGTGATTTGCATGTTCCTCTTCCACTGTGAGTGTGGTGTCTGATGTTAAGCAGATTTTCTTTTTATTCTTAGATAATATTTAATATGTGGGCAGATGAAAGATGAGGTAGTGAAAATGTAAAAATCTCTAGATTATGCTTAACAGAGATGTATCTGGCAAATGTGAACTAATCAAGGGTAGTTATGCCAACTTGTCATAAATTTTGGTTCTATTACAAATAAATACTACAGCATAGACATTTCTTAAAACTGAAAATGTGTCAGTGCCATATTACTGCAAAAGGTAAAGCTATTTGAGATCATAGTATATCTCACAGGATTTACTATGCACTAGTATAAAAACAAATGGTCAGTTTTTTAGGGAATAGAAGCATAGATTATCCAAAAAATGTATTTTGATTTGGCTCGGTGTTACTTTGTTATGCATGTCTGAGTATAGTTATCTCTACTGTTTTCATAATTCCCTTTCTCAGAATAATGATACATGGAATCCTGACACTAGAGATGCTGGGAATTTGACAGTTTCTCACACCTGGTCCACTTTGTCCTTGCAATTCAAACTATGCTGCACATAGACCAAGCTCAAATCACAGTCTCCCTTTCAAACTTTCTCTTATTGTCTAGAAAATTGTGTTTGAGTTACAGAGTTCTTCACATGCACAGTAGATGTTAGAAATTGTTGTAAAATTCTAAATAAATCAGGTTGAAACCAGTATACCAGTTTCTGTCAAGTTGATTTCAGTTCATGGTGACCCTGTGTCTGTCAGAGTAGAACTGTGCCATAGGGTTTTCAATGGCTAGTTTTTTGGAAGGAGATCACCAGACCTTCCTTCTGAGGCACCTCTGGGTAGACTTGAACCTTCTTTGGGTCAGCAACTCAAAGTGTTAATTATTTGTACCACACGGAGTCTCTGAATAAGCACATTAGGTGCTATGGGTTGTGGGTAAAAGGCTGACTGCTTGAAAAGCAAAACTGGCTAATAGACCATAAACTATTAACTGCTAATCAATTCTGTGCTTCTGTTTCTTGATGTTTTAATTTTACATTTAAAAAAAAAGATTGAGATGGTATGGAATGAGTAGATCAAGTTCATGTTAGAATTATATATGGTTTACTTACTATGTTTTTATTTTAGTGAAGATTGACAAGGATAAACGCCTCGTGGTACTGGATGAAGAGCTTGAGGTTTGTTCAATCAGCTAAATACGATTTTATACTTATTATTATTGCTCAAAGATGCTGTATTAGTTACATGTAGGTCTTCTAAAATGAGTTCTGCCCTAATTTAAATACTTGCTTGCTGGGCATAAAAGCATGTGGTAATTACTGTCTAAGTGCATTATCTTGCTAATTTGACCACCTTCTTTAAAGCATTAGTGAAAACCGTTGTAATAAGTGGTAGAACATAGGAATGTATGCCCAGTAAAAACAGAGTCACCTTTATAACTTGTTTCTAAAACTGGATGATTATGAAAACTAAAACCCTATAACTTATTTAGTACATCAAATTAATTTAGAGTAAAAGGAAATGAATTTTTTGCCCTAAATCCTGCATCTTTATTTCCTCTGAGGAGCTGGCTTCTCTTGTTCAGGGCTCCCTTACATTGGGAACATTAACACAGGCTGCTGTGCCTCTCAGCCTTGGGTTTAGTTAATAAATGGAAGTAAGTGGATTAGGCTTTGGTGGAAAGAGAGTTTAGTAACCTCAGTTTATATATAATTTAGCAAAATAAAATTTTACTTTGTGGCATGAGGGTCTTTGAATTTATTACTATTGATAAAATAGGTGTTCAGAATACATCCTTAAGGATTTATGGGTAAGAAAATATTTAACTGTTATTTTTTCTTTTTTATTGTGCCAGGGCATTTCACCTGATGAACTTAAAGATGAACTACCTGAACGACAACCTCGATATCCTTTTCTTTGTGCTTTAAAAAGGTGTTTTTTTTTTAGTGGTCAAGATTTAATTTGTGAAGCTCATTTATTAACTTTTAAAAGATGTATTTTATGAGATTTTCTTTTACATCATGATTACAACCAAATTAAAATAGTATGAACTATTGATGTATTATTCTCTTTGTTATAATATATAAGCTAAAAATTGAGGGGAAAAAAATCCGTATTGACAAACTCATACTTCTAGTAAATCTCTTTTTGAGAGATTATATGATTTTATGATAAACTATGTTTGGGGCCCATTTTATAATTTTGTGGAGAGAATAAATAGTGTAGGTGTGGCCTAAATGGATAGGATAGAAATTTGCTATGCAGCAATTACCCAGATGTGTATTTTCTTTCAGAACTTTGTTGGTAAGTACCTGGCTCAAAACACCATGGAAGAAAGGCCTGGCAGTCTGCTTCCACAGAAGATGACAGCCGAGAAAACCCTATGGAGCAGTTCTGCTCTGTAACACCTGGGGTTGCCGTGAGTCAAAATTAACTCAACAGCAATAGGTGCCTGGCTCAAAAAGAGCAGTAATTTTAGTTTCTTTAACTTGAGAAAAACCTTCATTGTATATAGTTATAAGTATCAGCGTGATGACGGAAGAGTTTCGTATCCTCTGTGCTTTATTTTCTCCAGTCCTGTTGGTAAGTGAATTTCTTTAAACATTGCATATTTGGCCCTGATGTAATTAAACAAATTGTATACTAGACGAATTTTATGCCCTTTTTTTTTAGATGAAAAGTGTTAAATCGCCTATATTTGAGAGGGGTGTGTGTGTGTGTGTTTACATGTATGCACATGACTGCATCTCTAGAAAGAAGTTACTATAAGGCATCTTCTCTGTATTATGTTCTTAGGGTAAATTCCAGAAGTGTAATTGCTGGGTTAAACCATATGCACATTCTGAGGATTTTGAAATGTAATGACATTTTTAAATAACGAAAATACCAAACCAAACTCACTGCCACTGACTCTCTTCAGACTCATAATAGCCCCCATGGGGTTTCCAAGGCTGTACATCTTTATAGAAGCAGACTACCTCATTTTTCTTCTGTGGAGCAGCCAGTGAGATTGAACCACCAACCTTTTGGTTAGCAGCCAAATGCCTTAAGCACTATACCATAGAGTTCCTATCAAAATTACATTTTCTTAATTCTTTTAATTCTGTTTCTAGGTTTGTGAACTTTGTATATAATTGTGGTATATACAGATTTTTCCCTGCTGTCTGAAAGTAGAGCATTCCTCTGAAACCTTTTGTAAGCTGAAATGTCATAAAACAAAGATGCAGATAGCATTAATTTGTATGGGAAAATTTTTGAGCATTCTCAGATTGAATAAATAACCTACCAAATCATACCAAATAACACATGAAACCTAAAGTAACACTAATATATAGTAAAAGCGGGACTATAAATACAAAGCTGATGCACCCACATCTGTGGAGATACATCCCTTGGAGCAATCGACCACAGGGCACCAGAAGGGCAACATTTGCATGGAGGAAATGCAGGACACACAGGAGTGCATAACTGTGAGGGGCACAGGAAGGGGGAGGTTTACTGGGCAGGGAGGGGAGGAGACTGGGTTAAGGTTAGGGATGGTAAATGAGGAGTGAAACTGAATGTACACGAAATGTTGAATGTAAAAAAAAACTCTGTAAACTTGCACTTAAAGCACACACACACACACAAAAGATAAATACAAAGCCTATATAAAGTAGAAGTAATGTATGTACAGTGCAATTTCACTTAGAATCAGAAAGACAGCACACTGGAAGGCTGAGAGGTGGTAAACACATCTTGCTGATGGGTGCACACAGTAAATTGAGATGGGGCACAAATGCTCGCAGACACAGTTCAAAGCTGTGGCAGCTTGATATTAAGTGTAGTTTCAGGGAAGGAGCTTGGCAACACCATTCTCATGCTGCTTGGAGTATGTGCTGCCTCTTTAACAGCTTGCTGCAAACAAATGCTGATGCTAGTTTCGCTCTTTTATGTGAAAGTGAAAATCCTCTTCGGATTTCTTTCAGTTAGTGAAAAAAGATACTAATGTAGGTCTTCTGTAAAACTAAAGTGGTATAAAGTGAACTTTCAGAAAGTGGGAGATAACCTGTATTTATGTTTATCTTTAAAATAGGTACTAGTATGTGTGCTTATAATCTCGAGAATGGTCTCAGAGTAGCTTAAATTGGGTATTAAAATGGATTATTAGTATTTAAGATATGTCATCATTAGACAATCAGTAGAATTCCTACTGCTGCCACCATTCAAAACCACAATGAAGTTTCTACTCAATGAACTTCTCTAAACTTTATTCTTTTTATCTTTCACTTTGCTCTTCAAATGTACTGCAGTATATTTTAAACTCAATATGTAAGCAAACTAACTTTATCTTCTGAGCACAGCTTCCTGTCCACTGGCATTCAGCCATATCGAAACCTTACACATTGAAGGCATCTATAAAGTTGATCTTGATATTTAATGTCAAAACGAAGATGGCTTTTGACAAGTATTTGCAAGCCTCTAAAAGTTAGCATCTGTCTGCAGAAGTATAATGTAGTTACATCTCTTTGTGCTAGCAGTCTGCAAGATAAGACTTTCAAAATAGAACGCATACATTTAGTCTGAAGTTTTTGTAAACTCAATAGGAAAGGATGTCCTAAATGTGTCATTTTTAAAAAGTAAATGATGAAAACTTGTCATTTTTTTCAAAATCTATGTTTCATTTCCACACTGATCTCTGTTTTCCAGGATGTAAGCCTGAACAACAGATGATGTATGCTGGGAGTAAGAATAAGCTAGTCCAAACAGCTGAACTAACCAAGGTAGTTTTTATATTTGACTTGCTTGTGAGACAGTATTTTCCCTTAAAAAGAAAGGGTTACTATAGGAGAAAAAAGATGGTGTAATCCAAGACTTTGTTCTATTTTATGATGACTAGCTCTTAGATAAGTTACTTACATATTAAGTACCTATAGAATATAGAGCTATAGCTAAAATAATCTGAAGGGCTAAGCATGTTCTTACGCAGTTGAAAGTTATTTAGACCAGAGCAAGAAACTAGTCAAAGCTTTATCAGGTGAAAATAGGACAGTAGAAGTCTTTGAACCAAAAGGTGTTTTTTTGAATTGAGAACTGTAAGTTGACTAAAAGAAATCACTTTCATTCAAAATCTAATCAGCTTTAGAAAAGCCACTGTTACTGTTGAATCTTTTGAGAGATTTTATTTTCCGTAATGTAATTTCTAGTAGGTAAAGGTGAGTATAAGTTTCTGTGCTTTTAAGAGAATTTTGGTTTTATGCCATTTTGATTATTAAACTTTTATAATGAATACTTAGCATGTAAAATAATTAAAGCACTTTCCAGAAAATATATTGAAGGTGATGTCATGACCAGTATGAAAGGAAGCAGAATTTGGTATTTAATACGCAAATATATAATGTATTTGATTTTTGCTTTGAGAGTGTCAATTTTAACCTGATTTTTTTCCTCAAGGTGTTTGAAATAAGGAATACTGAAGACCTAACTGAAGAATGGTTACGTGAGAAACTTGGATTTTTCCGCTAATGTGAACTTCTGTGTTTCTAAAGTATTTATGTATTAACCTGACCATACTGGAACCAGACATAAATACTTATTTATGCCTAAAAATGCACTGTTATTTACAGTTTGTTTCCTGCAGTAAAGAAAAATCTTCGTTTGTGCAAAATTTGAACAAAGAGGAAATTACCTTCATAGTAATGCAACTTTGTAAAGTGTTTCCTTATATTTGTAATTGTTAGGTGGACTACTTTCTCCAGGGACTTTTTGCACTCTTGTGACTAATTTCTATAACTTATGGTTCAGAATTTGTTACTATTTACAGACACCATTGGGAAGTGGATATTGGATTGTGATAGACAACAGTTGCCTCCTTTTGACAAATACTGGATATTAGCAGTTTATATATGAAAATAATATCACTTGTGAAATCTTTGAAATTAATTTGAGATTAAAGACTTGAGTGACCTAATTTTGAGCCATGAATACTAATGTACTGTAGTGCAATCTATATTACGAGTACATTTTTCATCAATTCCATACCTTCTTTTTTTTCTGATGTCTTTTTAATCGAGTCTAGAAACTATGTTCAGCAATCATTCTTAAAGCCTGGAAATTAGATTTTATGATAAAGTAATGACTATGACTATTAGGTCTTCTTGTTATGGGAAGTAGCATCTTAGTCTTACAAATTGGTGGATTATAACTAATCAAGGGCTTCATTTCTGATTATGTCATTTTTAGATAATTTTGAACCTAGGTTAATGACACTTTATAAAGCATCTCCTAATGTTGTCCTGTGAACACTAGTTATTTCAAATATGTTAATACTGTGCCTTTGATTTGTTAGCTTTAAAGTTAGTTTAAGACTTTTACACTGCCAGTATTCCAGATTTGGTGAAATTAATACTTTTGTAAAGGGTCCAAGTGAATAATTTTCTAATGTGTGTATCTGAAATTTGTAATAAAGTCAATTTCATATTTTTAAAACTCTTAAGTATCTGCATGCATGCATTGGTGAATATTTGGCAGTTGTGAGATATATCTGTGGTTAGGTTGTGCCATAGGGAAAAAAATTGCTTATCTTAACACTTTGGCCATAGTTAATAACATTAAAACATCATGGAGTTTTCATCTTGTATTCTGAATGTCAGAAGATATTCTAGAGTGGACACCTGAATAATTAACTAAACTAGTCTTATTAGAAGGAGCTGTGGTAGAGTAGTGCCTAAGGCACTTGACTGCTAATCAGAAGGCTGGTGGTTCAAACCCACCAGCCACTCCTTGGAAGGAAGATTGGGCAGTCTACTTCTGTAGTGATACCACCTCAGAAACCCAAGAAGGGGTCACTATGAGTCAAGTCCAACTTGACCCTACATAACAACAGTAACGGTCTTGTTAGATGATGGCAGGCATCCTCGGCATGAAGCAAGGATTCTAATATATAGGGTACTTTTAAAAACAGTGTATATAATTGTTTAACATTAATTTGACGGAAGGTCTAAAGACTTGAGACTAACCAAATTTGGTGGGTGAATTTCTTATATTAAGAATATTTTAGTTATTTTTATTTTTTTAATGTGTTTTCCACTCATACGTTGTTTCCTTTTAAAGATTCTGTGCCAACTTTAATAAAGAGGTGAAGATGGTTATAGTCTTCACAGTATTGAAGAGAGAATCTTCTGTTCCCAACACCTATAGCTCACTATTTGGCTCTACTAATCTAGAAATAAGGAAGCAATAGGAAGTTAGTTGGAGAAGAGAAAATGGTAGTAGGTTGAGTATTTGTTTTGGTTAATGAATGGAAATGAGTCTTTATTCTAGTTTCCAGAGAAAGAAAACTTCACCCAGGAAGTTTATAATTCTTTAGACAGGTATTTTGATATTGGAGAATATAATGTGCATAGAATTCTAAAGAAATGCAGATGTAGTCCAAGTGAGTAGGGTGTTTTTAATGTTTTTGAATGAAGGAAGTAAGATTTTATTTCACCTGGTTCATAGCAATAAGAGGAATTGACTAGTGCTTTAAGAATGTATTTTTTAATGAGGTTCCTTATTTTGTCTTGCATGGGTTTATTTGTTTTGAAAGCTCTGCCCTCCATAATGTGAGAAAATACTGACCTGCTTTCATTCCACAATGGGGGAAGGAGCTGTGATAGATCATGCTGTTTTGAGCTTCTTTGACTCTCCTTATCACTAAGATGTATTTTGCAAGACAACAGATTGAAGTTGGGATCAGTAGAACAATTTCTTACTCCCTCTCTATTTACTGTTAAATGTCCTGAAGGGACATTTACAGATCCTATGAGCTAAAGTATTCTCAGATTTTATATAGATTTCCCTTTTATCTAACCAAAATTTGCATTGTTCTTTTCAAGTATATCTCCTATTTGATCTCCTTTTCTGCCTTCTCTCAAATAGTAACTCAAGATTTCGTAATTCCAGTTTTTACATTCCATGTTTTTCTGATACAAGCTATTCCCATTCAGTGTTAAATCGTAATCTTTCCTTTTTGGCAGCAGCTTTTGGTCCTGGGAACCTCCTTCATGGTCTTCTAAATCAGCATTAATTTTAAGTTGTTGGCCTTATGTAAGTTCTGCATAGCATCTAATGTTGTCAAAATAGAGCCAACTAGTAATTACGGTATGTTTTCAGTGTGGTTTTTATGGCAACATAAATGACTTATGAAGAAAACTGTTCTCAGGTTACTATGCTGAAATTCCAAAATGATGTCTGAGTTTTGAATAGTATTCACTTTGTTCTGATATTGAAGCAATTATGTTAGGAAAAAAGTTAGTTGACTGATTGTTCTTGTTTAATTGACTTTGAAAACGTTCAAATTGTCTATTTCTAAAAACGTTTACTAAATGCCTAATGCAGTTATACTCTTAGTTAAGAGGATGTTGCTGGATTTTTTAATGTCATTACTAAATAATCTTTGTAGCAAAATGTCTGTCAGCACTTTTCCATCCCTTTTTATCTCCTATTTTCAGGAGTCAAACGTAGCCATAAACTTTATCCTGGTCTGACATTTAACTAAAAATTTCCAGGTAGGGGAGTTTATTGTCAAATTAAATTTGGCTGTTTCCCCACCTACCCATATAGATCATAAGGAAGGCATACTTGGGAGAAAAAAAATTGTGGACTACTTTTAAAACCTGAGCAATGTCATTAATCCATAATATAGACTAATGATGAATAGATATTTTCATAAGAGTTTAAATGCTGATATTCAGTGGAAGTAGTGAGTAACTCGTATTGTATCGATTCAAATATTCATAGTACGGTTGCTTTCCCTGTTTGTTTAATAGACTGATAATACTGGAATCTTTACAGAATTTGAGCCTTTACAACTTATGTGAAGGAATGTATCAAACATTTCTTGTCAAATCTTATTTTGTATTTCTGCAGGAATGTAAATAATCTTCTAGGCCACTTAAAACCAATGGTCCTAGGTTGAATATTCTTGAGAAATTTGTTTCCTATTATGCCATTTGACCTTTCAAATCAGTGATCATCTTGTAATATATGACACAACTGCATAAAGGTTATAATAGAAACAATTTGTGGGTTTTTTCTTTCGTTATATAATTCATACATATGTAATTACTTGAATATTGTTGGAAATCACTAACATGCCAGGGCAGTTCCCAGTGATTTCCATGGTCCAATATAATCTCATTCAGGAGGCTTGAAACATTAATGGTCAGTCTTGTGAATTTTAACAGTTTCTTGTCAATGTTTAACAAAATCAATAACTGGCACAACTTCTTATGCTGTGGTTTCAGTCTCTGCTAGTTCATGCTGCATGTTTATTTTAGACAGTCTTTTGTTAAGCATGGTGCTTGTACTGGTCTAAATAAAACATTAACACAAAAGGACTTGTAGCTTTTCATTTTGTTAATTTACTTTTTTTTCCCATTTATTTATTTATTGTGATTTCGGTGAAAGTTTACAGACCAAATTCACTTTCCATACAGCAGCTCACATACACTTTGTCTCATGACATTGACTACAGTTTCCCACAATGCAACAACTCACCTCCCACTTCCTCCCCATAGTTACCTCTTCCCTGTGTCCTTTCCTCCATTGTACTCCTGTCCCCTGAGCTGTCTCCCTGTATGTAGACAGCCCTTCTATTCTCCTATGATTGTTCTCTGCAAGGAGTGTATCAACGTAATGTAAATGTTCAGCTCATATGCCTGTCTTTTGTTCGGCTGAAAGCCACAGGAGTGGGTTCAGTTCTAGACCTGAAGGGCAGCTAAGGGGCCATAGTCTCTGGTTCCACCAGGCTCTATCAGATCAGCAAACCTGGTCCACTTTTTTTTTTTCCCAAATGATTTTGAGTTTTGTTCCACATTGTTCTCCTACTTTATCCAGGATCTCCTACATAGGTCCCCCTCCAAATGGTTGACAGTGATAGTTGGGCACCATCTAGTTCTGGTCTCATAGTCGTATAGGCTGAGGAGTGCATGATGTACCAGTCACTTGGACTAATTGTTTCCATGCATTTTTGGTTTTCATCATTCTTTGCTGTGAATGAGGAGAGACCCATCATTGCAGCTGGATGGCCGCTTGCAAGCTTTGAAGATCCCAGTTGCTATCACCAAAGTAGGATGTGGAACAATGTTTTGTGTAGTATATTATGCCAATTGAGCTTGATGTCCCCTATGACTATGGTCCCAAGCATACATGTCCGGCTACTCGCTCCCTCTGGGTAGCTGGCTGTGGCCGAGAAGTGACTACAACCTTGTCCCTTGACAGTGTTTCTGCAAGTGTATTGGTATGTTCTGTAAGAATTCCCAGGTATACAGTAGAGCTGACAAGCTTTTCATTGTTTACTCCCTTCCATTCCCCTTTGGAGTTAGTTACCTGCCTGGCTCAGTTATGGCATTTGTTTGAGCCACACTGATTTAGCAGTTAACTTTATCTAGAAAAAGTCGTGTTAGGTGCCATCGAGTCAGCTCTGACTCAGAATGACCCTGTGGACAACAGAATGAAACACTGCCTGATCCTGTGACATCCTCACAATTGTTGCTGTGTTTGAGCCCATTGTTGCAGCCACTGTGTCAATCTATCTTGTTGAGGGTCTTCTTTTTTCCTGATGCTCTACTTTACCAAGCATGATGTTCTTCTCCAGGGACTGGACCCTTCTGGTAACATGTCCAAAGTACATGAGAGGAAGTCTTGCCACCCTCACTTCTGAGGAGCATTCTGGCTGTACTTCCAAGACGTGTTCATTTTGGCAGTCCATGGTATATTCAATATTCTTCCCCAGCACCATAATCGAAAGGCATCAATTTTTCCTTGGTCGTCCTTATTAATTGTCCAGCTTTCAGTTGCCTATGAGGAAATTGAAAACAACATGGTGAAGCACACTTTAGTCCTCAAAGTGACATTTTTGCTTTTGAACACTTCAAAGAGGTCTTTTGCAGCAGATTTGCCCAATGCAATACGTCATTTGATTTTTTGACTGCTGCTTCCATGGATGTTGGTTGTGGATCCAGGTAAAACGAAATCCTTAACTTCAGTATTTTCTCTGTTACCATGATGTTGCTTATTGACCCTTTTGTGAAGATTTTTATTTTTTTATGTTGAGATGTAATCCATGCCGAAGGCTGTAGTCTTTGATATTCATCAGTAAGTGCTTTTGAGTCTTCACTTTTAGCAAGCCAGGTTGTTAACCTGCATATTGCAGGTGGTTATGAGTGCAAAAGCAATGTAGGGGAGACAGCTGGCCTCCTCTAACTTCACAAGGAGAGAGGAGAGTCAAGGTCAACAGCCCAAGGTTGATTCCAGTGAGCCGGAGGTCAGACATGTCTATTCCCTCCAACCTTTTTACCTGTTCTGACACCAACTAACCCTCCCATGGCACTCTCTGCTATTCTATGGGGTTCGATAATTCATTGCCAAAGCCACAGAACTCGTAGACAATACAGGATTACAACACAGATTACAATTCAGGATCAGGAACAACTCAGGA